CCACTTGTATCGCGATGCACAAGTCGGGATGTCTAAAAAAAGTTCGAATTACTTGTCCTTTACAACAGCTCATACCCGTACGCCCGTCTGCCCTCTGCACTCAGCCCGTCAAGCCCTACATAACCCTTCAAAGTCCTTTCGTCCAAGTCAGTACCATCATTCGTGGTATAGTCAGGGGGTGCGCGCCCAGCCAGCGTGACCTCTAACTGCCTCTTGATATAGTCCTTATTCTTCGGCGTTGTCGGGCATGATCCGATAAAAGCGACCGCCGCATTTGTCTTCCCTAGATGATCCGTGTCCACAGCATGGCAAATCTGCGTTTGGAGAATGGGTCAGCTAGAGCAACAAAGGAAACAATCTCCGTACCGGACACCACAAACTTACATCGCAGTGCCACCACACTGTATCTCCAGGATGTACTTTGGGCATGTACACCAGGCACTCTTCTAGCCTCAAATGTGGATGGGACGATCGGCTTAGACGCTGACTTTGTGGCTTGAACGTGCCGGGAAACCAGCCGCTCTCCTCGTCTAGCGTCCAAGTATGTGGATCCATCACGTCTGCATTGGGATCTTTCGGTGGTTGGAAGAACGGACGCAACAGCATATACGCAATGGCACTCTTCAAGTTCGGATAGACCATGAGAGTGCCTTCGCGCGGCGCTGTCGGCGTCAACGCCGTCCATCCCTGGAATGTCCGCAGAACCGTCGAATGGGCTGTGCCTTTGTACAAATCCTGGTCGGCATCCTTGCGCAAACCGATTTCGAACGCGTCGTTTGCCTCGGGCCTGCCGCTGAATATCTCGTGGTACACTCTGCGATACGCAGGGTTCGCCCATCGACAAAGACTACCGGCATCGATGTGGGGACCAAGACCTAGGAAAGGCTGACCTGGTGCCCGATCGCGAAGCCCATCGAAGAACGCGAAAGGTTCAGGAGAGGTACCCTTAAAGGCATCGTAATTGTGCCAGAGCTCATTCAGTCTGCGTTGAAGGTTGAGATGATTGGGGTGCGAACGAATGGCGGTCTGGGTGGGCGAACTGTAGAGAACCAGCATGCTGGGACTCTCCTTGGGCCAGGATGGGATCGCAGCCTTATTTTCAGCAACAAACTTGGTCATGTCGCTGTAGAGGACGTTTGTTTCGTCCTCGGGGATGGTGGCCCTACAGACGAAGGCGCCGATGCGCTGGACTTTAGCCTTCTGGGCGTCATCGAAGCCTTTCATCAGGATATCAGCTGTCTCGAAAATAGGTATGATTCTGTTGCCCATTTCCACAATCTCATCGGTGACAGCTGCGAGATCCTGGCAGACCTTGAACCAACTTTGGCGGAGCGCCTCAACGCCGTATTCTGCAATGACAGTCTTTTTGATCGAAAGGAACTCCGGATCCTTGGCTTCTACGCTGCTTGGAGATGCGAACTCAGGCCACGCGGGCCATTGTTCTATCTTCGCTGGCATAGTATCTTAGCAATCATGCAAGAATGGATTCGGCCAAGTCTGGTGGTAAATAAGTTTGGGATGCGTAATCACGTGTGGAACGAGGAGGCGTGTCTGGTCGCTTGAAAGTCATTGGGAGATTTCGTCAACGGAGAACCTTCGCTATCTTGCGTTGCATTCCATATAACACCAGACTAGATTGCAGATCCCCCAGTAGCTTCCACTTATCGAATATCTACTCTACGCGAGAGCTTTGTACCCCACAGTTTGCGCCAATAGTGGGGGAACTCGGGCGAGTTTCTCGGGCGAGTTGGTGTTATCAGCCGAAAGCTGAGCGCTAGCCTCCCCTGGCGCCTGCTGCTTGACGGCTACCACACAAGGTATTACCGAAGAGTTGCGTTCTCAATACAGTTGTCCCTAGGGTGTTTCAAGCTCTGGCAATTGTGTTATCTCACTATGGCCTGGTCCACTGCACTATATTGCTCAAGAAGATAAGGTCGTCGGAAATGGTCAAGTACATGATCTACCCAGCGTCGTTCCCCTGCAAAAGCACCACTGGAGAAACTGTGAGTTCATCGCATCACCAGGTTTCTGCTTCAGTGGGATTATTTCTTATAAGTTTTGACTACGTTCCAAACCGGGCACTTTTCAGCTTCTTCAAGTCGACTTTGTCGGGTAGCAGCTACCATGGCGACGCACTTTGAGCGAAAGCATATTTTGAAGGCCATCCCCGCAGATCACAGGATTCTAATGCCTCTTCTACTGGCAGTGACAATCTTTAATTCTGCTGTAAGTATTTTGCGCGTGCATGCTCTCAGACAATGCTGGTGCACAGGAGGATATGGCTAAACTGAATTGACAGACTCTTGGATATGACTCCTCGGTTTTGAATGGACTTCTCATTCTTCCATCGTACTCAGAGTACTTCCATCTCAACACCACGACCGAAGGCCTCAACAATGTGTTGGTTTCTAGCAGCTTCCATCTCATGTACAAACGACATAAGTGCTTGCTACCACACTCCTTTGTATGTAGCAAACACCCTGCCTACTAGAGGCAGCAGGTTCATCTCGTAGATAGAATGTATCATTCATCTCACCTGAGGTCTGGTCCAACACAATGCCGCCATGTGGATAGGCGGCATCATCGGCTAGGTGTTAAATCCCTAGATTTCAATGATTGATGCTTAGTTTCGGACATAGTAAATAGAAGAGAACATAAATTAGAACAAGGTGCCTTAAAAATAATTGAAATTCAAAGGGGAATGAACAGGGGGAGAGTAGGTAAATTTTTCTAAAGACTTTTTTTTGTATGGTCCTGGTTTAATGCTTCTAGATTATAACCTGGGTATTTTGTACATGTTAGCTGTGTCTTCGTTATCTACGTATGGAATTTTGCTGGCTGGATGGTCAGCTAATTCTAAATATGCATTCTTAGGATCTTTAAGGAGTACAGCTCAATTAATTAGTTATGAACTAATTTTAAGTTCTGCTAATCCCTCATGCAGCCTGTACCTGACTACTTTGGTCGTCGCCGTGCTATCTACATTGCCGTCTTGATCTCTATTGTTGGAATTATATTGCAAGCTGCGTCACAAAATGTGGCCATGTTTGTCATCGCGCGGATCATCGTTGGAATTGGATCAGCCATCAGTAATGGAGCGGCCCCAACGTTGCTAGGCGAGCTGTCACCTCCTAACAATCACGCGCGAGCTCTAGGACTTTTCTTTTCCTGTTTCTATGTGGAAAGCTTGGCTTCCGCCATTGTGAACTATGGAAGCCAGAACATTGACAGCACGTGGGCGTGGCGGCTGCCCTCTTTGCTACAAGTCGTTCCCAGCTTAGTGGCAGCAGCAATTGTGCCATTCATACCGGAGTCACCGCGCTGGCTCATTGCACACGATCGAGATGCAGAGGCGTTGGCTGTCTTGCTCATCATGCAAGGCAAACACAACCTGGATCCACAGGCAGGTGCGATACAGTTGAGGGAGATCCGAGATACTATCTATGCAGAGGCAAAGCAATATCCACGGAACCCATGGAGAGAAATAATTTCGACAAAGGCTAACAGGAGGAGGCTGATGATTCTCTGCACTTTTGGGCCCATGATTAGCATGTTCGGCAACTTCATCATCTCATAAGTTTGTCAGCAAAGACCAGGCAATTCAATCCAAGCTGATCACCATGCATAGGTATTATCTCGGCAAGATCTTGACTCAAGCTGGCATTACAAGTACAAAGACGCAAACACAAGTACAAGTCATCATTAACTGCTGGTCCTTTGCTGTGGCTGTCCTGGGAAGTCTCATGCTCGATATACTTGGTCGTAGAAAACAAACATTTATCGGTGTCGGCGGCATGATAGTCACGCTAATGCTAATCGGTGGTCTCATCAAGCGTAAGTCTCATAGCAAGACGTGTCCCCACTTAACAACATCTATCGTTTACGTTCCACCGATGAATGAGATACTAACAAGTGCATAGGGTATGGCAACAGCACTGACACTTCCGGTATCTACGGCACTATCGCAGTCATATTCCTCTTCCAAGGCTTCTACGCCTTCTCGATCACTCCAATGACAAGTCTCTACCCAACCGAGGTCTCGCAATTCAAGCTGCGAGCTACAGGCATCGCAATCTTCCGAATGCTCGATGCTGGATTCGGGTACGTCCTGTCTTTCTTTTCGCTGATCACAAATCGTCTTCTTGCCATCCGCAATGCTTAATTACATTTGCTGACATACTGCAGGCTTTTGGCCTCTTTCGCTCTAGCCTACGCAATGGAGGACCTCGGCTGAAAGTTCTACTTTATCAATGCTGCTTGGAATTTTGTGTTCCTCATCATTGCCTATTTCACTTTCGTGGAGACGAAAGGACTACAGCTTGAGGAAATCAATGCCAAATTCGAAGGAGAGACGGGCATCGTCATGGGTATAGAAGCGAACGAGTCTGACCGGGACACCGGATCCAAAGGCAAACATGACGGCGTTATTGCCAAAACCCACGAACTAACATGATGGATTACGACCTAGCAAATGCTTACATGGGCCGGCTAAGTAAAAGCATGCACGCCCGAGCGTTCTTGCCTGACATTATCTATATAATTATAGAGCTTAGCGCCGCACAGTACTTGTCTAATAGCTAATTGAAGTCTGTGTGCCACAATTCTTGTCTAGACAATTGTGTTGTCTTTTTTTGAGATCATGCCGTTCAGTCGTACAGTAGGGTGGATGTTGAGAGCACAGGATCACCAGACCTTTTAGCCGCAGGAGTTTTCTGAAGATGTGCGTTCAAGTCTCACATCAAGGAACTAGATTATTCAAGGAGCAAATGATACTAAAATTATTTCGCTATAGAGCTTTGTACTCAACAGACACTATCCATGATTCGACTAAAGCTCCTTAGCTTTTAATACTACAAAATTCAACAAATCTACAAAGAAACAAAAATTGCTCAGAGTTCTAGGCCGATTATTGCCTCGGGATTGAGATCATGTGTGGAACAACAGTGGAAATCGCAAAAAAAGAGAGAATCGAACTCCCAAGAGGAACCAATTGACAGGAATGATTCAGCCGAGGTTTGAACTCGGGACCTTCAGTGCGCGACATCCATTGGAGTGAATGTTAGACTGACGTGATAACCAACTACACCACCGAACCTGTGATTTGATGATGGGATATTGCCATTGTTCAAAATATATAGGCCATCTGATTTGAGAACTTGATGCTGCATCGCAATCAGGCATCTCCGAGGACATGGTAATTCTGTTGAGTGAAGCATCGCGTGGTCAATGTATGGGTGGAACCCCCACTAGGGTGAAAGCTCTGCTAGGTGGTGGGGCTGCCCCTCTTCTACACGAACCTATTACGCCCAGCGAACAACCAGTGCTGTACCGGCGTGCACATAGCATCGACCGCGGAACTTGACCAGACTACGTTGAGAATTTTACGTGTAGGCTCTTCCGCAGGGCGTCCCTTGTGAGCAATTGTATCTGAACGTCGGACGTGGCGTCTGGGTATGGTCGGCTCGTAAGGATTTCTTCGTCTGCAGTGCCGCCGCACGACCAACGCCTCGCGACACAAGCCGCGGAAGTTCTTGGTCGGTCTGGTCCTTGTACATCGTTCGTTTGAAGAAACTGATGGCATAGATTCGAAGAGTCTTTCATCGTACCCGGCGCTGATCCAAGATCTATGCACTTGTTGGTGGCTTGTTTGGCGGGGCCGAGCTCAAACGCTTGTCGACCCCCCCCAAGCCTCCAAGCTTCAGCACACCCCCGACCAAGAGACACGACATCTTGGGTGCAGATGAATTGTGGATTTTGCGGGGAGACAGCTGGGCAGTGGGTCTTTCCCCACCTCAACTGCTGCCAGATGAACTTTACCTGCACAGCGTGCTTGGTACAGCTGGGCGATCGATATCAAGTCATGAAGATCGAAGAGTTAGATACCTATGGTAGGCAAAGTGGTGAATAGTGTTGAATACTGTATGCAAGTATAGCATTACAATACAATCACTTAAGAGGAAGCAAGCCCAAGGTTTTGCAGAAGCTTACGGGGCTGCGCAGAGGCAATTAGCGACCAAATTTCTGTGCGCGCGCAGGCATCATTTGGCGGCCCCTGACAGCACCTGCCACCTCCTACGATACCGTAACACTCAAAGCCTCACCAAAAGTTGTTTCCCGTGTTCAGGACGCATTTTTCACTATATTTGTTCTTCTATGGTCGGGCCTCCAGACTACAGCCGATGCCATGGGGCTACTTCAACGGACGGTGTCTGTTTTCGACTGTGACGGCCAGCCCATCTTCGGCCTCGCACTGCGTCTGCAGACCAATAATAATACATATCGCAAAGAGGCTCAATGCGCAACAAGCAACGTGCGTACGGAGGCATTGTGAACTCAGCAACCTTATGCAGGTCAAGGCATCCATCCGTCGCACCTTTGTGGGAGTCTATACTCAATGTGGAAGCACCACGTCAAACCCACGCTTAAATTCTCCAAATCCGATAGAATCTCAAACCCCGCATCGCGTTTCCTGGTCATTTACCTGGCCCACTGCTCCACTCAAGCATTCAAAGATCCACTTTGCTAAGACATTGATTGTTGCAATGTGAGCTTTTCTACTTGAAGCTCAACGCGCCGAGAGGTGTCACCAGGGGCTTGCTGACCCCAGACTTGCGCTGTGGAGAAACGCGGCCAAGAGGTGTCGCGTCGTCCTTTCACGCATTCATGCCCGAGATGCCGGCAATTGATGCTCATGCAGACAACTTCTGCATTGCACTCCTGTGGGAACTCCTTGACTTGGCACATCGCATTGCCGCAGAGCTACAGGTTTTGATGTACCAGCCTTTCTAAAGGCAGTCCATTACCTCGTATCGGTTTTTCCGTGTCGTCAACTGGCAGGACAAGGTTCAAGGGTCAATTGCCGGGATCTCTCATTTGTGCGTGTACGCTGAGCGCAACACATGGACTGTCCTCCGAGGTCCTCCAAGTATGTCCAGGAACGTATACACTATGACCCCTCAGGCTCCAATGGATCCCAAGGCCGTCACTGAGGCACAGACCTACCTAAGAAGGCGCTCGAGACCATGACCGCTGGTCCACTTACTGTACGAAGCAACATCTGGTTCCCCGAGCGCAGTAGGAATCGCAGATCACGCTTATCTGTCCTTGGCTTCGCATCATGAAAGTTTCAAGCGTACGTCAAACAGCGGGATCTCCTTGGCAGGCGGCACGCGCAGCCTCGTAAGGCAGAGTCTTGCCATGTATGCCATGCTATGCTTAGGGAGACTTGGCGCGGCTTCACTGAAGTTTCAAGACTAGTCAAACCAGTGGGTTTGGCTTGGCGGAGGCCTCGATCATGACCACGATATCGCGACCCAAGCACATTCACTTGAGTATAAAGAAGAGGTCGATCCACTTCTTCAGAACTCTAGTTCGGCCACTCACTTCACTTCAATACCTACAGTCTAATTCGTTCATCGTCGCCGGCCGACTTCCTCATCACTCATCCTATTGATCAATTTTTGTTAATTTTCTATCATTAACCCGACGATACCTATTCTGTTATCCTATTCAAACCCCCAGAGATCCACACAAACGAAAACATGCTTCCTCAACACGTCCTTATTGCCCTCGTGGCCACTGTCGCTGCCGTCCCGCTTAACATCAATTTGGGCGCCTATTCTCCCGCCCTGGTAGTCGGTGATGGTGAGATCTCGCTGGGATCAACAGAATCGGCATCAGAATTGATGGCCACGCTCGCTTCTGGCGCAGCAGCAAGTGGAGAAGCCGCCGAAGGCGCAGCCCTACCCGCAGGTCAGCAAGAACAACCTGCCGCCGCTGAAGAGCCTGCGCCCGAGGCGGCACCTGCAGAACAACCAGCTGAACGAGGAACAGCGAAGCGATCACCTAACTTCCGCCGGGCTCTCGACAAGATCCTCGGAAGACGTGACCCCGCACCGGAGCCCACCATGACCGCTGTCGAAGGCGCCATGGAATGGATCAAGCGTGATCTTCAGGGCTTCAACGCTGCGCTCAGCTACGCCCGTGAGGCCATGAAGGACGCACCCAAGATCGAGCTTGGTACCGAGAACGCTGGCATCGGTATTTTGGTCAACCCCGGTGTCAATGTTCCCAAAGACTCCGCCGCCGCCGGCTCTTCGGAGAAAAAGACGAAGCGTGATGAGGTTGTCTCAGAAAACGATGCACCAAAGATGACACTCGTTGCGATCACAGAAGTCTAAGGTGCTACGCACAAGCATGAAGGTTTAGGAAAAGTTCCTTTGGAAAATCACGGGTCGCACATTTGTACAATTTTACGGGTCGCATCAGCAGGCACGTTCGCCGATGGCGGTCTATGTTCGGGAGATGCAGCACGAGTTTCTTTCTAGCGATCATCGGCAGGAGCCTTTCAGAGGACCGGAAGATGAGACGTTTGGGTGACGGCGATTGTACGATGAGAATGGGTCGCAAGGGACAATGATAGATTCAATCAACAATGAAGTGATTGACGACATTCTTCCTCCATGACAATGCGATCTACTAAAGAGGCATAATCCCAGTTTCCATGCGATATTGAGCGTCCGCGCAATCATCAAGCATCTTGCTCAATCCAGATGGGGCAGGACCGTTTGGGACTATTTCTGGTCAAGCTCTGGCCAAGTCTCAGCGAAGTCTCAGCGACGTCTTGTGTCTCTTGGCAGAGAAACGGGGTCTGGCGCGGAGGTTAGAACACAACCTTGTTCCCGGCCAAATCGTTCCCAAAACAAGGCAAGTGGGGCAGGAACTAGTCATGGGATTTCTGTAAGTCATCTCAAGGCCCGGACAGGCCCCTAGGCCGTAACATACATAGTATGCTCTCCATTCAGCTATCTTGTGACATGGGAAAATGAAGCCGCTCTTGATCTCAGGCATGTAAAAATCACCCGTACACCCGCAACCGCGACAAACAACTGCTTGGATGCAACGGTTTAACAATATAGCGGGACCGGCAGGCAGCAGTTCAGCGTACAAGTGGGGTTGTACTTGGTGGGGCTTGGTTCAGGTGTGGCTGTCAAATATGAATTCGACGTACTATGTATTGAACAGGATCGATCGCTCATTGCTTATGTAAAGGTAAGTATTGCGCTCTGCACAGGTGCCATTCTTGACGAGATCTTACTGTGATGCAGCCAGTGAGAGCTAATCGTGAAGAGCACTAGAGGTACTCAGTCGTATGTGAGATCTTCCTTCCATCGTGACAAGAACACAAGGTGCTACCGGCCGAATATCTTAGGTCTTCACACACGACATCACCGGTCAGCTCAAGACTTAGCCTACAGCTCTAGTCTGGGATGTGAACTCACTCTATTATTACACGCCCCTGACAGAAAAATCGATTTTCCTTGTTGCAGCCACGCTGTTCTTAAACTTTCAGGCGTGCACCTGAACTCATATCCACATATAATTCGGCGCACACGACAACGCCTGTCTCTTCATATGGGCTGCGCTTACGGCGGCACAACCACCAACGCTGCACGATGTATGTATCAACCAGCTTTGTAATGGTGGGTTCTTATCCTCACACCTCTAGTGTGCCGGGTTCTTATCGCTATCCTACCAAATCTTCTTTATAAACGCTAGAGCGAAGGCGGTAGTATCTTTGCGCAAAACATTAACCGCCCCCCACTTTGACACGCATTCATGTACCTCTACTTGCTGACGATCATTGTAGTAATTTACAGCATATTCATTAACTAGATCAAACACGAGGTAAAGCAATTCGAGCCCTATGAGAATAGATATTCGTGCATCAACCTTCAGGTGCATCCTTACCGATCGAACCTTCAGCAAGGGTTACCCAGCGTTTTCTCGTCATGCCGACAGAAGTATAGTTGAGGACTTTCATCCATAAGAGTCCTACAAAGAAGGCTTCTTTGTGCACATACATAGAGTCTTTTCATTCTGATTCATCACGAGCTTATCGACTCGTCTCATGTGCTTCCTTTCTTCTGTGCGTCTCAAAGCTCCGTCTCGCAATTAAGCTGTCGCAGAATCTCTGGTCTCGCTTTGAGAGCTATATTTGGAAGCATGACGTGCGAGATCTTGCTGATCGAGATTGATACCCGATATGTAGATGGGAGTTGACCGGTCAAGATTCGGCTCAGGCTTGCCCTTGTC